TGTCTCTCTCTCGCTCTCGCTCTCGCTCTCGCTCTCGCTCTCTCTCTCTCTCTCCTTTCTATGATTTATAATGTTGTTGTTGTTATGTGCCATAGAGTCGTTTGCGACTCATAGCGACCCTATGTACAAGAGCTCTAAACGCCGTTCTGTAATCTAAATGTGTTCTATTGTACATAGGGTTTTCGAATAAATTGCTTAAAAAGTGGAACAGGACAAAGGGAGCTCTGGTGGCCTAGTGGCAAGAAGCTGCACTGCAATCTCAGGGGTACGCGGTTTGAATCCACCAGATGATAGATGCTCCGCTGGAGAAAGGGGCAATCTCCTCTTGTACCAGTCAGATCTGATTTGACGGTAAACATACCATAAAAAAAAAAAAAAGATAGTAAAACTTTTTTTAAAAAGTGGAACATGACGTTTAGGTAAAGTGCTTATCAGTCTCACTAAAAGTGGTACAGAATGAGAAGTCCTCCAGACTGGACGAGGTTCAAATTTTTTCTCTACTGGTAACTAGTTTTATGACTTTGGGATTTCGTGCCTTATTACGTCCCTTAAAGTCGACTGCTACTCGTAGCCACCTTGCAGTATCCTATGTCATCCTTACCATCTCCGATATGCCCATCGTCACAACCACCATGTCAATCCATCTTGTTGAGGGTTCTTCCTCTCCTATGCTGACCATTTCCAAACATGTTGTCTTTCTTCAGGGACTGGCCCCTAACAAATTTCTAGTATATGAGAGTCAAATTTCTAGTGAGTCTAAAATCAGAAGTACTTGGTTTGTGTATAAGTATTGTTGTTGTTGAGTATCACCGAGTCAGAACTGACTCATAGCTGACTCATAACTCGCTGGAGAGTAAGTTTGCAGAGGCAGTAAATCACTTGGAAAGAGATTACTCATTTTTCTCCCAAGAGCAGGTGGTGAGTTTGAGCTGTATATCATTGCATTGGCTGCTCAATTCCTTAACACTAACCCACCAGAGCTTGCTCTGGTGTAAATAGGGCAGTCTGAAAGTGGAGTCAACTCCATCTGAAAAGCCTTCACATGGATCTGGAATCCATGCTGGGGTTTAAAATAGTAGCTACTTTTATTTAATCTTGTTGGCTGATCTAGCCATACACTCCAAGGATAATCCGTTCCTTTTCTCTGAGATCCATCAAGTGAAGTGTACCTAGTCTATTCCCAAAAGGTCATTTTCGTTGGAAACGAACAGATGTAAAATGCAACAACTTGTATTGGAAGTTTTATCAATAGATCCTAACGGACCACCTCACAACCCAGAAACAGACATTATTGAGGAAGTAATTTTACTAGTAGGTTACCGGAAAAATCTACCTTATGCTGTCCTAGGACCACCCTATAACAAACTGTAGGACATGTACTTTTGACTAAAGCTATAATCCCATTTCCCTGTTAGTTATATCCCTGGCAAATTCCTGTTTCTAGATTTCTCACCTTTATCTCCTCTGATTATCTTTCAGAGAATTTGTAACATTTAGTCTCTACTCCAACAATGTGAGAATGTACCCCTTCCTTTGTTCCATTGGAAAGCCATTTTCACTCTGTTATAATAGCTGTCCCCCAGTCCAGACCCTTAGTAAACTCCATTTGCTTTTAGTTAAGCCAGGTCCATCCTGTTGCTCTATTATATAGTTCCTCATCTGAAGATGATGGGGGGAGAGGGGGTAATACTTTCATGCCTACCCAATAGGTTCAAGGAAGGATATTTTCTTTTACTACCGAATGTTTGTGATGTTGAGTTTTTGGGGTTTTTTTAAACCACAAAATTTGAGAGAGGGGAAGGTGGAAACAAGAGTGACAAGCTTCATAGGTGTATTTTTAGGTGCATAAAGACACCATAATTTAAGCTTTAAAAGGGAAAAATATCAAGCATCTGTGAACCAAGTGCTGCATCCAAAAAACCATCTAAGAACAGGAAACAGACGACCACAGGGGACCAGCCATCCAGAGCTGAATTTCTGTCATAGAAATCCCTTCACCCTTCACCCCTCCCAGTGAAACTCTGGACATTATTGGAGCAGAAGTCATGACTGATGAAGCAACAGAACCAGAGGCGCTGACTTGGCCCGATGTACTGAACTCAATGAGGCACTCAAAGAATTTCTAGATGCAATATCTCAGCTTGGCAGATGTGGTTTGGAACTCCTCCTCCACTGTGAGGACCAGCAAACCTAGAACAAATTATCCAGTATCCTTTAGCTATTACCTGACTGACTCCCTGTTGGTTGTGTCCTCTTTATTACAATTGCAAAGAGCACTGATGACCTTAAGTTAAAGTCAATCTTACCACTCTTCTTTACTTCAACACTTTTACAAGTGGTATCATAAGAGAAATAGCCTTGATATTGCAGGAAACAGTGTCTTAGATGTTTCTGGATGGTGCAAGGAACTCAAACATCTGTCTGGAAATTCTTTTCATATTATGGCACTAATTGGATTTCCAACATTATTTTCCAACTCCCTTTCCTGTCCCCATTCATGCCCACTTACCCTATTTGGCATTAAATGTCTCTAGGATTTGATTCAGAATGTGATCTTTCCTGCAGAAGAGACTCTGTCCTCTGTCTTCGAGAAGTTCCACACCGTTATTAGTTTTATCGTGGGATACTCATTTTACACTGATAGTTTATTTCGGGTAACTATAAATCTTAATATCTTTTTGATGGGGCATCTGATTCTACTCTTAAAAATATCAGACTAAAAAAGAAAATCAGACTCAGAAATAGGAAAGGGAATTGCAACACAACACAATATGATGCATGGTAAAGGGAAAATCAATATGCAACAAAGGATTTATTAGATATTTTGAATAATTACATTAATTAATTGTAAAGAATATTATAAAACAAATTATGCATGAATAATAGATGAAAAACCCATGTGATTTATAAACTTTTTACTCAAATTGTATAGTTATTTTCAGGGGGGAAAAATTCGGTCTTAAAGATTGAACTCAAGCTCTAAGATGAAATTGGTAACTGCAATTTGAAAGATTAGATGAGAAACTTAGGGGGCAGTGTTGCTGTCAGGTATCTCCAAGTAGAGTATGACCCACAGAAATCATTAGCATACTGAGCCCTGTCCTATCCTGTGTCTCCCAAATCATGTGACACACTTGAGCCCGTTGCTGTAGTCACTGTGTCAATTCATTTCCTTGAGAGTCTTCCCTTCTTGCACTGACGCTCCACCTTTTGAAGCATATCTGTCTCTCCTAGCAACATGCCCAAAATATGTCAGATGAACCTTTAACATCTTTGTTTCCAGAGAGTACTGTGGCTGTACCGTCTCCAAGACATATCTGTTCTTTTGGCAGTCCATGGATATTCAGTACTCTTCTCCAATACATATACATATATGCTCAAAGGCATATATATATATATATATACACACACACACACACATATACATACATACATATATATGACTCTACTTTGGACATGTTACAAGGAGGGATCAGTCCTTGGAGAGGAACGTCATACTTGGGAAGGTGAAGGGACAGCACAAGAAAGACCTTAGATGAGATGGATTGATTCAGTGACTGGAGTAATGGGGGTAGGTGTGTCAGAGACAATAAGATTGGCACAAGATAGAGCAGGGTTTAGGACTGTAATACATAGGGTTGCTATGAGACACAAGTGACTCAACAACACATAACAACAACAACAAAACACACCCACACAGTGGCCTAGTGGTATGAAACTGCACTGCAAACTCAAAGGCATGTTTAAAATCACCAGTTGTTCTGCAGGAGGATGGACAATCTCCTCCTCTCCTCCTGTGGGATTTAATGTCTCTGAAAATCTCCTTGAGGGTCAGCTACGGGTTTGTTCAGACTTGATGGTACTCAATAACAACAGCAACAACAAACACACAGAGTTCTGGTGGCAAGATGACATATACACACGTACTCACAGTTATTTTAAAGTGCTTGAAACAAGAAATAAAGATATAAAAAAAAAAAAGACAAAGCGACTCCACCTGTCAGTTTGGAAGAGTATTAGTAGCACTCAGGACAGAATGGAGTGTAAAATTGCAAGAAACAGATGGTTCTGGTATTAGAGCTTTGGACCAAAGCCGGCCTACAGTTAGAGACTTGGAATCAGAGTGAAAACCACAACTCCCAGAAACCCCGGGGACGGGGCGTGGTCACGCGTGTGGGCGGGGATTACAAGATCACGCCTTGAAATCTAATTGGGCGCGACCTGGGCGAGGTGCAGCTCGGGAAGAGGCGGGAGCGACGGCTATGGAGGCGCAGCAGGAGAAAGAGATGAGGGTATTCAGGGTCTCTTGGATACAAGGCTATGTCACACTTCCCAGGACTACGAATCTCGCCCATCTGACTCCACATCCTCGGCAGCATGTGTGCCTTTTCTCTCCCCTTACTTTCTCCCGTCCATTTTTAGTGCTGGCTGCAGGATTGCGAGCCCCCTTGCTCGCACAGACCCCTGCACAGCTATTCCTGCCTTCTCTAGTCTTTCCCTTTGCCGTGCTCACGAGAGGGGCGTCTAGTGAACCCACAAACTCGTACAAATCCCTTATTCACGGAGTGGAGTGGGACTCCTGAACCCAAACCACCGGCCACTTGTCGCCCTTCGCTGCTGCCTCGACAATTTCCACCCCTGAGCTGCTTGCGAGCCCACATCCCAGCTCCAAATTCTCGCAGTTTCCACACCTGAGCCGCTTGCTTGCGAGCCCACAACCTAGCTGTGCGTGACGAGCGCTCAGGGGAGTTGGAGACTTTGAGGACAACATTTTTAGAGAATGTATATATACTGATGCTTTCATATCTGTACTTTGAACTTGAACGGTTTTTCGAGTGATGCAGATTATCCGAAAGTGGGTTTTCTAGCTTTGGGGAATGATAGATTGTTTCAGATAGTATTTGATTCTTCTCTCGTTGACATGATGCTTACTTTAAATTTGTTATTTCCTAACACCAGCTATCTCCCTGAGACAAGTTAGGATGTGAAGGGGACGCAGGGTATTCATAGAAAGCATCTCCTTTGCTTTCCGTCACTTTTGTATTCGGCCATTCCACTGAACAGTACCTGTAATATCTACCCTTTAAATGGTTAGGTTGCTGGTTGGTTGAAAAATATATTTGGAGATCATCCCATTCCACAATATGAAGTGAATCCACGGACCACAGATATTCTGTATCACCTGTCAGAACGCAACAAGACCCGGGACAGGGATGTCTCCCTGGTGACAGAGGATTTGAAACAGAAAGCAAGCGAGTATGAATCAGAAGGTGAGAGTGTGAGAAAATATAATAGCAAGAGGTGACCACTGTTTAACACCACAGTGTTAGCAGGCTATAACACTAAATGAATTGAATGCAAGCTACTGTGTTGGCTTTGCTTTATTTCACTCAAATATTTTTTTCCACTCTTGTTAATAGCAATTTTCTTAAATGTGAAATCTCATGGTGATACACATTTGTTTAAATATTTTATTAGTACACACTGCAAAATAAGTCCTAAAAGAAAAGAGTTGTCATACTTGCAGTGGAATCTGTTTCTGGTATCTAGTGGATAGAAGCTAAAGATAGGTTTGAGGGAATTCTAGTGGCCTGGTAGCAAGAAGCTGCGCTGCAACCCAAAGGCGTGAGGTTCGAATCCCACAGATGCTCTGCTGAAGCAGGAGGAACAGCCTCCTCCTGTGCCAGTCAGATCCAGCACACAACAAGAAAAAAAAAAGATGGATTTAACATCCTACAGCACCCCAAGGGTTATCCAGCCCCAGGTGGTTAGCAGTGTAGGGCAACGTGGAAGAATTAATAGAAATGAGAATGATATCGTGCGTATTATAATGAATTATCAGTCAAAATATGTATGAAGAAATAATTCACTGAAATAAAAATTTTCACTAAGAATTATTTACAAGGAAATAAAAAATAAAGTGCTGAAGGGAAGGAGGAAAAGTCAGGAGTCCCAAGTTTAAAAACTCTGTGTGGAAACTGGGGGGAAAGAACCATTGCTTTAATTTGGAAATCATCACCCAAAACAAGTGGTTGGTTGCCAGGTACATGGGGCTCTGGTGGCACAGCCCATGGGATGTTGAATTGGTGACACAAACTGGCTGACATGTCTGAAGCCCACAATAAATTCTTTGAAATGAATGATTGAAATAAAAATGAAAGAACAGAATGCACAAATTATTAGGCTGCTGCAAGCTTGTGCTCAAGAGTACCGGTCAGACTCAAAGATAAAAGTCCTCTATTTGCGAATATACAGTGGCATTTTCTGACATACTTTTTTTTTCTTTTTCCCATGCTTGCTTGCTTATTTATTTATTTATTT